AATAACTAACACGACAAAAATCAAATGCATTTCTGTACACTGACAGTGAAGGTAAGGATCTGAAATTAGAAGCACAATCCTATTTGTAATGGCATCGGAGAAAAATTTTAATGCATTTAAATTAAAAAAAATTTTTGGCCTTTTTGAGACGGGGTCTCCCTGTAGCCCCAGCTGGCCTGACACTTGCTATATAGACCAGGCTGGCCTTGAACTCACAGAGATCTGCCTGTCTCTGCCTCCCGAGTGCTGGGATTAAAGGCACGAGCCATCACACCTGGATAAAATGCATTTTTAAATGTAACAGAACATGTAGAAGTTTTGTATGCTGAGAATTTTCAAAATCTTTGTGAAATAAAAAAGATCTAAATAAATGGAAAATTACTGTTTATAGATTGGAAGACTCAACATTATGATGAGAAAAATCCAGTTTCAAAATCAATATGGATTGATAAAATGGACTATATTTATATTATGGGTTTTTTTTTTCATCTTTAAGAATGTTAAGCTGTGCGTGTTGGTGTACTCCTTTAATCCCAGCAGGCGAATCTTTGTGAGTTCAAGGCCATCCTGGTCTACATAGCACGTTCCAGGCCAGCTTGGGCTACAGGGAGACCCTGTCTCAAAAAGACAAAAATAAATAAATAGATAAAAAATCAGGCTGGAGAGATGGGTCAGCAGAGGACCCAGATTCGATTCCAAGTACCCAATGGCAGCTTACAACTGTTCATAACTCCAGTTCGAGGATCCAACGCCCTCTTCTGACATCCACAGGCACTGCACAACACAGGTGCACTTACACACATGCAGGCAATACACTGATACAAATAAAGGTAAGTATATTAAAAACCAAGTCACAGAGGGGGAGAAAAATTTTCCAAAACATAACCAACCAACAATTTGTACAGGCAACGGAGTAAAAAAGTGGGAAAGAAACAAGTATATTACTGAAATCACAAGAGACCCAAACAGCCAATAAATACATGAACTTGTGTTCAACCTCACTGACAATCAAGGAAATGTAAATTAAAGGCACAATTCCGTACCACTCACTTTTAGAATGTATTGGTCTAGCTCTGAAGCAGCCATCATGGTCATCCATTTACTGTGGGAGCTTAAATTGGTATCTTTTTTTTGTCTTTTTTTTTTTTGAGGCAGGGTCTCCCTGTAGCCCCAGCTGTCCTGGAACTCACTATGTAGACCAGGCTGGCCTTGAACTCACAGAGATCTGCCTGCCTCTGCCTCCTGAGTGCTGGGATTAAAGGTGTGCGTCACCACGCCCGGTTTAAATTGGTATTTTATGCTTGAACTGACAACATTTAAGTCTGAGCCCAGTAACCCGCCAAATCTACAATTAGGAATGTCAGACTATATCCCAAAGAACTTGTGTACATGTGCACCAAAAGACAAAAATCCATTTGGGAAACAGCCCAAATGTTCATGGGTAAATATGTCATGTTTTTATACCACTGAGTAGCATATGGCATTCAAAATGGATTATGGTTATTGATTGAAAGTAGCCAGTTGCAAAACAAGATGGACATATGATTCCATTTACACAGAATTCAAAACCAAGCAAAATAGCCTATGGTGTTAAAAGCCAAAATAGTCACTACCTATCAGGAGACAGGGAGTAAGTAGTGACCAGGAGGGAGCATAAAGAGGGCTTGTGAGATGCTGGAATGTTCTTGTTGAAGACTTCACCTGAGTGAAAAGTACAAGGGTGTGTTTATTTGAGAGGATTTAATTAGCTGTATACGTTTATGATTTGTGTACCTATTAGTATGTGTATTTTGTTTTAATCAGATATTTTAAAAATAGACCCGTGAATCACATCAGGATAGTTGCCTACAAGGAAGCTGCAGGATTGAAAAGGAGTAGAAGAGAATAAATAATCAGGCGGGGTACAGGTAGGGCAAATAAGCAGTTAGGTAAGTAGATGGGATACAGCCTGGGCAGCAGTCTAGAATTTTGTGATACCCAGCATGGAAACTGGGAAAGGGGGCCATTTAAATGAAAATTTCACCGAATAAAAGTTCACTTCCTCCATCACATTAGCCACATTTCAAGTGTTCCATAATCATGAGTCCAACAGCTCAACTGTCTACTATGGGGCAAAAGGAGGCGGCCATCACTGCAGATCTTTCTGTTGGACAGCCTCAGACAAACACGGCTGGGATCTGGAGGGAAAAAAAGAAGCAGTTATAGAAAGAACATAAAGAGAAACTGAAAACCATCCGAGCTCAAGCTGAGATCTAGAATAGAACACAGTAACACAAGATCCAGAAAAGCGCTATCATAGAAACCAAGACACAGACATCTGTAAAGAGGAAATGTTGATGTTAGACATGACAGAGTTAGAACCATGTGGCAAACAGTAGATCACTGGAGAACTTAGCAAAAACAGCTTCTGTGCATGTGGAAGTCCCATCACTGGGTCCTGAGTATGAAGAAATGACTTAGAAAATGCCAGCAAACCTGAACTTAGCTGTAGAGAGTAAATCCTCTTCTGCCTGCCCTGGCTTATAGAGCTCAGACATGCCAGGGTGCCCAGGGGTCTAGAATGGTGTGATCAGTGCAGATCCTGTCTCCTCATGCACAGGGAGACGTCCAAAAGTTCAAATGCAAACACTCTTGCTTGGACTCAGAAGAAGGCTGCCAGGGTCATAACAAATGTGGTTTCTTGACCATAAGGAAGTGTCCCCAAAGGTTATTTCCGGGGTCATTAGTGGGATTCCTGAGAACAGATATAATCTGGGGTAGGGCAGAGGAGTGTGTTGTAACACACATACACACACACACACACACGCACGCACACACACACACACACACACACACACACACACACACACACAACTTAGGCCCTAAAAAAGAGTGACAGACAAGGTCCCGGGGGGTTGTCAAATATACAGTATTTTTGAGATTTTTCTCTACTGCTCTATTTCTGGGGACTCCGTTTGCAGAGAGCAGAGATTGAGTTTGAAAGGTAGGCTTCTTTTTGGTTTCAGTCATGGGAGACATTAAGGCTAAGAGAGGTGTACAGGAAAGGGGCCAGATTATCTCTGAAAACTCACCCTAATTTTTTCCTCCTCACCTCTCCGTTCTCTGGGTGTCTTAAAAGACAGCTAGGTAACCACAGAGAGGATTTTGACCGTTTGCAGTCACTGTTTCTTCCTCGGCATCCTGGTATCTTCTCCTTCCGGTCCATATTTCCCTCGGGGACCCAGTTGTCTTCTCTCCCAACTCAAGGATTCGATGCATCTGTCCTCCCAAAGCCCTCACTCTCTATGGGTCCCCCCTCCCTCCCTCTCTATGGGTCCCCCCACCACACCTACTTGTTTCTTGTTATCTCTGGCTTCTCTCCAGCCTCCTATTTACTCACGCCACTTTTCTGTTTGACTTTAGGGCCCACTCAATGCCAAAGCCTTTATCTTTTCCTCCAAGAACCTGCCAAGAGTGGTTATGTGGGAAGTCACAGCCCTGGGGAGAGAAAAGCCTCCACCCATGCTGGCAGCAGAGGTCCAGGCCTCAGTGATAAGGGGGGAGGAGTCTGGTGGAGTGTTGACCCAGGACACCCAGGCCTTGCAGCTGCTGTTTCCTGAGGAAACTCTTCATCAAACAATGATCCCCAAAGTAAGGAGGGGAGGAGTAGGGCATAGGCCAGGCCAGCCCCATCAGATATGGCGACTTCATCCCAGAAAGCCCACACAGCTTGCCTCCCTATGCCATCCAGTCCTTGCGCCTCATCTCAGACAAACTAGAATAATAGACACGATCACTCAAAACCTGTTCCTCCAGTCCCTTCTGAGGACACAAAAGAAAAAAGATAGAAAAGAAAAAAGAGAGAGGTGGGGGGGGAAGAAAACCACAGAAAGCAAAAACTCCAAAACCAAATAATTCTCCAGGAAGAATTCTCCACATGGCTGTGTAGAACCAGGAAATAGAAACCTCTGACCTTCATCACGCACAACCTGAGCCCTAACCCTCACTTTCCCACCAGTAAGTGAGCACCTCAGAAGATCAAGATGCCTAGCAAAGCTAGCTTTCCATGTTTCTGTTTTATAGATGAGAACCCCAGACCTTGATGGTAAAGATGGTCCACACCACAGGCATGGGTCAAGGCCTCTGACCCCTGTTCTTTACTGGTGACCGGAAAGATGAGGGTGACTGGGAACCAAGGCTTAGCTGGTGGGGACTGCTAGGAACCAGGACCCGGATATGGGTCCTTTACTGTTGTTTCTGGCAGGGGTCAAAGAAAGAAATCTGGCCAGTGAGCCAGCAAACACCACCAAATGCCACCTCCCATCTCAATCTAAACCCTGCCCACTACCCCACCCCTGCCTAGGGACCCAGGATTTCAGCATGCTGCTCCCCAGCTGTCTCCCTAGGGACACCACCCTTCCAGATTGAATTGTTCTGCAAGCTCCCAGGGTGCGGCCACCAGCTGTTCTCACACCCCTTTCGGAACACACGACTCATCATCCATCTACCCTTGGCAGGTCTTCAGGGCTCCCCATTCCACCTGGTCTGAGATCAGCATCCTCCTCCAGGAAGTTGGCATCATCTGCCTGTTCAGGTGCCTCAGGGTGTGGCTTGAGAGGCCAAGAAACTCCACTATATAGCCCCATCCACAGGCTGATCCTGAAGTTCTGGGGAGCTGCAGGTAAGAAGGATGGGGTCCCCTGTGGAAGTGGAACAGCTGATCTACTCTGGACTTGGGTTCCAGACTTCTTCTCCAGCCTATCCCCTCGGACCCCCTGGGTATCTATTGCTGCGCCCATTTCCCTGGATCCTGAACTGCTCAGCTCATTCCTAGACCCTTGGACAGCCAGCCTCACCACCACCTGCTGCTTATGCCCACATGATCCCATCATCCACCTGCCCACCTCAGCCCTCCTTGCACCCCAGCAGCCCTTGTCCTGAGACTGTCCCCTTCTGTCATCTCCAAGTCAATCTGCAGGAGGACAGCCTTCTATAACCCTCTCTCCTTCCCTGCTGCAGGCATGGGGTCCCTGTGGAGCTGGTGGACCCTCTGGGCTGGAGCAGCCCTCCTGTGGGGTAAGTCATATCAAGTCTGTGTCCTTGTTCCTATCAGGGAAACTCTTCCTGCCTGAGTCAGCACCCTCAATTTGTGTCCCCTCTATAAACCACCTTGCAGTGTGCCCCAAAGGCTAGCTGAAATGGGGCAGAGGTTAGTTGAAATGGCAAAGAATCCCTTAGGCACTACAGAGAAATATGGTAGAATCATCCTTTTATATTCACTTTGTTCCCCCCTCCACACACACATTAGTGCTGAGAAGCCCACTCTCCTCTGGTTCCCGGAGACACTCTGTCCGCACAATGCTTGAACCAATTTTTAGGTGGAAATTTCATATAAAACTTCAGCTAGCCAGTCAGTTTCTCTTTAAAAATGGGAAAGTTTAACATTTTTTAAAAGGGCCCCAATCTTTCATATTAACAACCAGAAGAAGCTGTTTTAGGTGGAGTCTGGTGCTACCTGGGCTATTTTTCGAATTTTTATTGTTCGTGTGTCCTGCAGCATTTAGCTTGAGAGGCCTGACCAGAGCACTCAGGCTTTGGAGCAGCAAAGCCAGAAAGGCTTTAGAAGAGCGCTGCTTGGATAGGAAAGGACCAGGAGGGAGGGAGTTACTCTGCATGCTCCCTGGCAAGGGGCAAGGGGTTGGTTTTGTGATGGGGAGGATTAGCTGAGTGGACCCACGACTGCATTTTCTTAAGGGTTGACCCAGGAGGCCACAGTGGACCCCAGGAACACTGGTGGGGAAGAATTCCTCACAGCCTTCCTGCAGAATTACCAGCCCGGGTACAGCAAGGCCTATCTCCGCCTCCTCATCTCCAGTCTGTCAGAGAGCTCCGCCTCTGTCTCCATCCTCAGTCAGGCCGATGACACCTCACAGAAGGTCACAGTGAAGCCTGGGGAGTCAGTCATGGTCAACATCAGTGCGGAGGCTGAGATGACCGGCAGCAGGACCTTCCAGCATGCAGTGGTGGTCCACTCTGACCGCACCATCTCTGTACAGGCACTAAATGCTAAACCCAACACAGGGGAGGTGACATTGCTTCGGCCTGTTGGAGCCCTGGGCACAGAGTACTTTGTGCTCACACCCTCCAGCATCTCTTCCCAAAATGTAAAGGAGTTTGCTGTGGTGGCTGGCAGAGACGGTGCCTCCATCAGTATCAGTCTGAAGGCAGCAGTGACATTCCAGGGCAATTTCTACCCAGCTGGCAGGGTCTTAAGTGTGACTCTGGAGCCCTATGAGGTAGCCCAGTTACAAAGCACAGCCGATCTCTCAGGATCAAAGGTCACAGCCAGCAGCCCTGTCGCTGTTCTTTCTGGCCACAGTTGTGCCCAGAAGCACACAAACTGCAACCATGTAGTGGAGCAGCTGCTGCCCACATCTGCTTGGGGAACCCACTATGTGGTCCCTCCTCTGACCTCCCAGTCCCGCTATGATCTGGCCTACGTTGTAGCCAGCCAGACCACAAAGCTGACCTACAACCATGGGGGTACCACTGGCTCCCGTGGTCTCCAGATGGGTGATGTGGTCCAGTTTGAAGTCCGGCCCTCCTGGCCGCTCTACCTGTCTGCAGATGTAGGCATCCAGGTTGTGTTGTTCGGCACAGGGGCCATAAAGAATCGGGTGACCTACGATCCTTACCTGGTCCTGATCCCAGATGTGGCAGCCTACTGCCATGCCTATGTGATCAAGAGTGTGCCAGACACTGAGGGTGTAGCCCTGGTGGTGGCACAGACAAAGGCAACCAATGGCCTAATCATGGATGGGCAAGCATTGGGGACCATGCTCACCTGGGTGGCTGTGCCAGGTAGTGAGTTCTCCTATGCTGAAGTGGACCTTGGCACTGCTGACAAGATACACACAGTTGAGGCCTCTACCAACTTTGGGCTGCTCACCTTTGGGTTGGCCCAGGCTGTGGGCTATGGAACATCAGCTTCCTGTGGCCAGAGTGAGTGATGGGAATGATTCCTGACCTTGGTTGCCTTTCCTGTCTGCTCCTCCCTCTGTGGCTTCCTGCCTGGTTGCCCTGTCTGTCTCCCACTTCTAGCCTTCATGGCATCCTTCCTTAATTCCTCTCAGCCCCTTCCCTACCTCTAGGGACAGTGATTCTGTTTACCAACCAGACTGAGCCGAGGCAGAGCCACCTAGAGCACTGTGTCAGGAAGTCCCTACACTGCACTGGCCATTCTCTATTGGTTTGTGGTGAAGTTGCTGTAGGGGACCTGAGGGAGACCCAGGGTGCCAGGACAGGCTGGGTCAGCAGCTTCTTGTCAACCAGTTTTGGAAATATTTTGGTATTCTGGCACAAATACAGCTATACCCATTGCTAGAAGTTACTCTCCACACCTCAGGTAGGATCGCTGATGCTCAGAGTCAGGAGGTCCAAAGTATAATGACAGTAGAGGACCCCCATGCTGTCCTCTTTCCTAGGTGCTTTATATGTTTTAGCATAAAGAATAGGACCTGTGTGTGACCTCAGGCTCAGCCTTTTGAGAAGCTGTCGCCAGGCAGCACAGGTGTTGTGAGGACACGGGGCCAGAGCCAGAGAGCCTGGGGTTAAACCCCAGCCCTGCCTGATGAATTTTGGCATGGGACTTCACCTCCTTGGACTTCAGTTTTCATGACTATAAAGTGGGGATAATACCCAATCTCCCCCAAAGGACTGTGGCGAGGGTGGAACTAGTTAGCATATGCAAAGCCCATAGAGTGGCATATGGCAAGTGATCAGGCAATGCAGGGTAAACTGTTTGTTATTAGGGGGTCAGAAGGCAAGAGTTTTGAGAGGCTGGAGGCTGACCAGGAAGGATTGTTTCTTCTTAGCTGGGCTTCTTCAAACTGGGAACCTGGAAACAAGAGGTTCCTTATCTTGGCACAAATGCCACCCCAGTCAAGGAGCACCTGGGACTTGAATGAGGGACGGGTGCAGGTGACTAATTATAAGAGCAATGGTCAATTTACCTCTTAGGCTTATCTACCCACCTGACTTAAGGTTTTGGCTCATTAAAACTTGACAATTCCTCCCTCAAATTCCTATGAAGAAGCTATTATTATCAAACCCATAGGACAGATTAGAACAGATGCCAGAGCACCTAAAATCATCTACCCAGTGTCCAGAGTTAGGTTCTTGGACCAGGACTCCTACTGAGGCACCTACACCACAGTTGTTTCCATTATGCTGAGGCCTCTGTCTTCCATTTTCTGTCCTGCGAACCATCCTTTAGCCTTTCCAGCCTGGTGAAGGCGAGGAAGAGTGTGACGTGAAAGAACACATCAGTGTTTCAGTGGCTGCTCTTGATCTCTCGATCCTTCTTCACTGTCTGTCCCTCTTCTGGGCCAAGCTGTGTTAAAATGTGGAATCAGAGACTCGGGGGCATCAGGCAGACCTGAAGACTCTCTCTCTCTCTCTCTCTCTCTCTCTCTCTCTCTCTCTCTGTTTGACTTCAAATCTCAGTTTCTCTGCCTCTAAAATGGATGTTCACGAGCCAACTGCTCACACTGCGGGGGTGGGGGCAGGTTTCTGACCTTGTGAGCATTTCTAACTGTTTTTTTTTAACTCTCCTTCCTCCCCAGCTCTGCTCTCCCGAGCAGAGGCCTCCTGCCAAGGGGTTAAGTGTGCATCTGGGCAGCACTGCCAGGTGGTGAGTGGGAAGGCCAGGTGTGTGGCAGAGTCCACAGCTATCTGCCGTGCCCAGGGTGACCCTCATTACACCACCTTTGATGGCCGCCGTTATGACATGATGGGTACCTGCTCCTACACCATGGCCGAGCTGTGTGGGGAGGATACGACCCTGCCAGCCTTCAGCGTGGAAGCCAAGAATGAGCACCGGGGCAGCCTCCAAGTCTCCTATGTGGGCTTGGTAACCGTGCACGCCTATAGCCACTCTGTGTCGCTGATCCGTGGAGAAACTGGCTTTGCCCGGGTAAGTGTTCAGAGTTTGATACCCATGAGTTACCAGCCCAAAGAAGGAGCCAAAGTCCTGGGATTAAACCCCGAACTCAAGACCTTTTTGATAGGTGAGGGAACTGGTAAGAGAGTGTTATGTGAAAACCAGTAGCAGATCTTTAAAGCTTTTCTTTCACCGATTCCACTTCTAGAAAACTTAAGGATGCTTGGAGATATGGTTAGGAAGAAAACATACCAACACCACTTGAAATAGCAAAAGGGAAAAAAGGAAAAGCAAAAGAAATGATCCCAATGTCCAACAGTCAGAGACCTCTGAAGTGACAAGGATCATTACCGATAGTGAGCTAGTAAGTGGGCCAGGTCTGTTTCTTGGTCCTTTCAGCGTCTCTCCATCTCTCCGTGGATAGCCATTGTATTATGACAGGTACAGATAAAGAAACAGGTTGATGGAGGTGAGTGACTGCCCAAGGCCCAAGAGCTAGAGAAGGTGACACTTGGGAGGAACACATGTAACCTGATGACTGACTCTGGAGTTGCTGCGCTGCACCTGGGAAACAATGAAGGCGAGTAGCAGCCTAGAGCTCAGTTTTCTTTCCCACCACATCGCCAGGGAAGTGGTAAAATATGTAAACAAGTTGGAATCACTCTGCAGGTTGAGTATCCCTTATCTGATGCCAGAAGTGCTTCAGATTTGAATTCTTCAGAATTCTAGAATATTTGCATACACAGGCTGGGGATCTCTCTCTCTCTCTCTCTCTCTCTCTCTCTCTCTCTCTCTCTCTTTTTTTTTTTGGTCTTTTTGAGACAGGGTCTCCCTGTAGCCCCAGCTGTCCTGGAACTCACTAGACTAGGCTGGCCTTGAACTCACAAAGATCCACCTGCCTCTGCCTCCCAAGTGCTGGGATTAAAGGCGTGCCCCACCATGCCTGGCCTTTTTTAAAAAAATATTTTATTTTTATTTTGTATGTATGAGTGTATTGTCTGCATGTGAATGAGTGCTCCCATGTCATACAATGCCTATGGAGGTCAGAAGAGGGTGTCTGATCCCCTGAAACTGGAGTATGGACAGTTGTTAGCCACCAGGTGGGTGCTGGGAATTGAACCCAGGTCCTCTGCAAGAGCAGCCAGTGCTCTTAACCACTGAGTCATCTCTCCAGCCCCTGCACATGTTTTTGACTGTGATTGGTCATACTAGGACAGACTGGGAATTTTCCATGCATTAGTTTCCTTGCTAGTGCTCAAAAGGGTCAGATTTTGGATTATTTCAGATTGCAGATTTTTTGTTTTTAGTATTTTTGAGACAGGGTCTCCCTGTAGCCCCAGCTGGCCTGGAACTCACTATGTAGACCAGGCTGGCCTTGAACTCATAGAGATCCACCTGCCTCTGCCTCCCCAGTACTGGGACTAAAGGTGTGTGCCACCACGCCTGGCTCCAAAATTCAGATTTTTGAGACAAGGGTACCTAATCTGGACAGTGAACACTTATGTGCCAATCCCCTACATAGACTGTAAATGTTTTAGCTTTTCTTCACTTGTCACAGAAATCCATGTGGACCCTGCTCTGCTGGACTGATGGGCCCTCATTTTTTATGTGCTTAAAAGCAAATTCCAGACATAACTACACTTTACCAAAAAGACTTTAACATGCCTACCGTTAACTAGAATGCAGTATTAATTCTTAATATATGTATGTATATAATCTTATATAATATCTGAAAATAAAGCAAAAAGCCAAGTTACTCAGGCATCTGATCCCAAGTTCAAGACCTGCTTGGGCTACAGAGTGAGTTCGGGCCACCCTGGGCAACTTAGTGAGATCCTATTTCAAAATAAGAAGCAGAAAGGGGCTGAGGGAGTAGCTCAGTGGTACAGTGTTGGTTTACACTCCACAGTGAGGACCTGGGGATATAGGCAGTGGCAGAGCACTCATCTAGCATATATACGGCCCTAGTTGCTCCTGTTTCCTCCTCCTCTTCCTCCTTCTCCTTTTCCTCCTCCTCTTCCTCCTCTTCTTCCTCCTCCTCCTTCTCCTCTTCCTCCTCCTCCTTTTATTCCTCTTCTGCGTTTTGAGGCAAGGCCTTACTATGTAGCCCTGGCTGGCCTATATAGACCAGGCTATCCTTAAATTTACAGAGACCTGCCTGCCTCTCCCTCTAAAGTGCCAGGATTAAAGGCATGCAGCACAGTTAGGGTTAGGGTTAGGGTTAGGGTTAGGGTTAGGGTTAGGGTTAGGGTTAGGGTTAGAGTTAGGGGTTAGGGTTAGGGTTAGGGTTAGCCTGACAAGCCTCTAGTTCAGTTCCCAGCAAGAGAGAGAAAGAGAGAGAGAGAGAGAGAGAGAGAGAGAGAGAGAGAGAGAGGAGAGAGAGAGATTCTAAAAACAAATTCACAAATTTGTTTAAGTGTACACTTCAACTAAGTTTTGACAAATGTATAATTAAAACCCCCATTAAGATACAGAATATTTTTATCACATTGGAAAATTCTCTACTGTTCCTTTCCAAACAACCTTTAACACATCCCTCCAGGCTGCCACATTTTAAATTTTCCTCCAGGTTAGTTGTGTCTGCTTAAAAATTTCATCATAAAATCATATTATGAAACATCTTATTTGTGCATCTGACTTCATTTGCTTTTTACTCCCATCCCATGAGAAACAACTTCTGTTGGTACTTTTCCTCAGTATTGGTATTGAGCCCAGTCCTTTGCAAGTGCTAGACAGGTGCTGTACCACTGAGCTATATTCCAGCCCTCTTTTTATTTTATTTTGAGACAGAACTTACAAAGTTGTCCAGGTGGGCCTCAAAGTTGCAAGCCACCTATCTCAGCCTCCCAAGTAGCTGAGATTTCTTTCTCTTTTTTTGTAATTTCTTTTCTTTTCTTTTTGAGACAGGGGCTCCCTGTAGCCCCAGCTAGCCTGGAACTTACTATGTAGACCAGCTGGCCCTGATCTCACAGTGATCTGCCTGCCTCTGCCTTCCGAGTGCTGGGATTAAAGACATGTGCCACCATGCCTAGCCCAAGTAGGTGGGATTTCTTGTTGGTCCTTTAAGGCTTGGTTCAGCTGTCCCTTTCCTGGGAAACCATTCTTGACAGGCAAATTGGTGATGTCCTTTTCCCTAGGTTTCCAACCCAGCCCTGATCCTTCTGTCAGTGCCTCCTCCAGCCCTGTCCTGACTCCTCTGTGCTTTCCCTGTGCGGACGGTCTGTCTCTCCCAGTTCTTTGGGAGACCATGAGGAAGCTGGGGGATTCATCCTCTGTATCTCCCAGCACAGGACCAGGAAGAGAGTACATGCATAGTAGGTGTTTAATGCAGCAGCTCTCACAGGCTAGGTAGGTTCTTTATTGCATGTAGGATAGAAATGAGACACAGAAACTTCCGAAGTAAAGGAAAGTGAAAGTTTATCACAGAAAAGAAGAACAACATAATACTTACTTTTTACAAGAAAGAAGGCTGGACTTGGTGGCACACACCTTTAATCCCAGCACTTGGAAGGCAGAGACTGGCGGATCTCTGTGAGTTCAAGGCCAGCCTGGTCTACATAGTGAGTTCCAGGCCAGCTGGGGCTACAGGGAATAAGGAGAGTCAGGGAACATGTGGCACTTTGCACACAGCTCAAAACATGTCCATTCTTGTGTTAAAACTACTAGGCAGAGATCCTGCCATACAATGATATTACAAGATGGTGTGGCGGGAACCTCAGAGCAAAATAAGAAATACAGTGTGATCTGTACCTGAGTGCACATACACGGTTCTGCCTGTTGTGACTTAGTAGTACAGAGCACCCAATCAGTATATGTGTTACCATTTGTGGGAGACCAAGAAACTGAGCTGTACAGTGGGGTATGAAAGGCAAAGCTTTCCTTTGTGCAGGGCCCTGCTTAGAGAAATCTATCTGGATCAGTGCACTGGTAAAAAATAAACTGCTTCCTGCTTAGCTTTGGGATCCTGATTTTCTGTTCAAATCGCCTACTCCGATGAAATAAAGATCCTGACATCACCAGTCAGATTTGCCACCATCTTGGTGGCTGCTGGTCTTAACTGGTTTTGCCCATAGCCTCCTGTCCCTCTGCTCCCTTATCTCAAGAACATGCCACCTGCCCGCCTGTTCCACTGGGTCCCTGCAGCTACTTGCTCAGCCAGACCTGCCGCTCTCCTTTATCACACAGACTTCATGCTTTTATTGACAGCCTGCTGCTCTGCCAGGCACTGTGGAAGAACTAAACAGTGATCAAGGCAGTGATGCATTAGTAGACAGGACATTCTAGTGGCCCTAAGCAGATGAAGAATGTGTGAATTTGCATATTATATTTAAGAGGGTTAGAAGCTATTGGAAAATAGAAAGGCAGAGGAGACTAGGGAACAGGAAAGGGGCTGCTACTGAAAGGGGTGATGGGGTGGCCTCGCCAAGTCAGCAACATTCAGGAAGATGTTTGACTGAAGGAGAGGGAGTGAGCTTCATGCACATCTGGGAGAGGAACATTCCAGTCCTCTGAGGCACAAGAGCAAAGATCCCTAGGTTCAGCAGGTGGCAGTAACAGAAGGAAGGAATCCTGTGTGAGGAGGGGAAGTGAGTGGTGGAGATGGAGGGCTTTAGGGGAAACTGTACAGGGTTCTGACCACTGCCACCCTCTGCAGATCGACCACCAGCGCTCAAGCCTGCCAGCCTCCCTGAGTGATGGTCGCCTGCGCGTGTACCAGAGTGGGACACAGGGTGTGGTGGAGCTGGACTTCGGACTGGTGGTCACCTACAACTGGGATTCCCAGCTGACACTGAGCCTGCCCAACCGCTTCCGAGACCAGGTGTGCGGTCTGTGTGGCAACTACAATGGAGACCCTGCTGACGACTTCCTCACACCTGACTGGGAGCAGGCCCCTGATGCCTTAGAATTTGCAAATAGCTGGAAGCTGGATGATGGGGACTACCTGTGTGATGACGGCTGCCATAACACCTGTCCCTCCTGCACAGCAGGCCAGCTGCAGCACTACCAGGGATCGCCTCTCTGTGGCATGATAACTCTGTCCACAGGCCCCTTCGCTGCCTGCCACGAGTCCCTGGACCCCAAACCTTTCCTGCAAGATTGTGTGTATGACCTGTGTGTGACTGGAGGGGAACGTCTCAGCCTGTGTCGGAGCCTCAGTGCCTATGCCCAGGCCTGTGCAGAGCTGGGCATCTCTGTTGGGAACTGGAGGTCACAAGCCAACTGCCGTAAGTGACACCTAGGGTAGGAGCACATGGCGAGGGAAAAAGGGCCCCATGTATCTGCTCCATATATGAATTACAATTGTGGTCCAGCCCAATACTGGGCAGATACCCTGGTTGGCCAGCACATCTACAGTTAGCCTAAGGTTGGGACAGACATATCATCGGACAGGAAAAGTCTACAATGGTTGGGGATCAATACATTGGGGGAGGTGCCAGCAAATGGACAGGAGTTGGAATTGGGAGGCACAGGTAGCGGGTCAAGGACCGGATAGTGAGGTACACGGAGAGGGTTCTGGCCTTGGATGGAGAGGCACAGAGAGAGGGTTCTCTAGTGGGATGAGGAGGTACAGGAAAGGGGTTGGGGATGTGATGAGAGAAATTCTAGCAGGCAATGGTAGACAAGAGAAGGTTCTGATCCCACCTTGGAAGGATTTGGGGTTGTTCTAGAGTTTTCAGGATCTCTCTGGGTTCCACTGCCCGGGAAGCCTTGCCTCTGGTCATCACTCTCCCCTTTCTGCAGTCCTTCCCTTCCCTGCTGTGTCCGGTCCTGTCCTTGGTACTGAAGAGTCAACAGAAACTGAAACAGACCAGGTCTCCACCTCCACAGAACTTTTATCAGAGTGGCAGAGTACAGACAGGCTGTAAACAGCTCAACTGTGAAATGCCTTCAGAGAGCAAAGAAAGCAGCTCATGTGATAGCAGTCTCTGGGAAGCTCAGGGAAGACATTTGGGGATAGATGACAGTGGATCCCAGGGCAGAGCCAGGCAATGAAATCAGCTAAGTCACGACAGCGTCAGACATGGAGCACCTCTGCATCTGTCATTCATTCAGTCCTCACAGCCAGTGAGATCAGTGTTGCAGCATCCCATTTTACTGATGGGGAGACTAAGGTACAGGCAGATCAGTCATTTGTTCATGGTCACACATTAGTAAAGGGAGAGCTGGCATTTGAACCAACCATCTGGGCTCCCAGAGCCTTTGCCTTCACCTCATGCTGCAAAGTTTGTCTGAGGAAAGGGTGAGGCAGGCAGAGGGAACGGTCAGAGCAAAGGCCCGAGGTGGGAATCTGAGGACCAGGCACCAGGACACTGAGGCTACAATTGAGTGGTCCAGTGAAGGAGTGAGACAGTGAGACAGTGAGGAGCCTGGAGAAGTGACTGATGGGAAGCATGGGGAGGTGACTGATGGGGAGCACAGGGAGGTGACTGATGGGGAGCACAGGGAGGTGACTGATGGGGAGCACAGGGAGGTGACTGATGGGGAGCACAGGGAGGTGATTGATGGGGAGCACAGGGAGGTGACTGATGGGGAGCACAGGGAGGTGACTGATGGGGGGCACAGGGAGGTGATTGATGGGGAGCACAGGGAGGTGACTGATGGGGAGCACAGGGAGGTGATTGATGGGGAGCACAAGGAGGTTACTGATGGGGAGCACAGGGAGCTCTTGGGCCTTGGGAGGACTCTGCTTTCCCCTGAGATGGAGCCACAGGTGAGAAGGTATGTGGGGTACCTGTGGCCCCAAGTTCACAGATTCCTCTGGCTGGGGTGAGGAGCAGACTGTTCACAGGGGAGCAGGAGACCAGGCAGGGGCTGCTATGGTTTATAGGCTGGGGAGAAGATTCTGGGTGGACTTGAAAGATGGAACTCATAGGATTGGCCCACTGACTGTGCAGAGGATGGGTTGGAGGAGGGTAGTTGAGGCTGAGGATCAGGGAGGATGCAAATGCCTTTATCTGAGAGATGCAGAGCTCTGAGAGAGCAGCAGGTGTCTGGGAGAGTCGTGGTGTACCCTTTGTGGGCTCCTCAGGCTGGCCTGACACACACTCTCCTGGTCCTCCACAGCCCTATGCTGCCCAGCCAACAGCCGCTATGATGCTTGCAGCCCTGCCTGTCCTGCCTCCTGCAACTCAGAGGCAGCTCCTGAGGACTGCTCCAGCCGCCCCTGTGTGGAGGGCTGTGTGTGCCTTCCAGGCTTCGTGTCCAGCGGTGGCGCTTGTGTGCCTGTCTCCTCCTGTGGTTGCACCTACCAGGGCCGCCCGCTTGCTCCAGGTCAGGAGGTGTTTGCTGATGACCTGTGCCAGCAACGCTGCACCTGTGATGGAGCCACCCAGGAGGTGATCTGTCGAGACACACAAGGATGTCCTTCTGGTGAGCGCTGCCTCGTGCAGAATGGCCTCCTGGGTTGCTACCCCAACAACTTTGCCAGCTGCCAGGCATCTGGGGACCCGCACTACGTGAGCTTTGATGGCAAGCGCTTTGACTTCATGGGTACCTGCACGTACCAGCTAGTGGGATCCTGCGGCCAGAATACTGCACTGCCTGACTTCCGGGTGCTGGTGGAGAATGAGCATCGAGGCAGCCAGACCGTGAGCTACACGCGTGCCGTGCGGGTAGAGGCCCACGGTGTCGAGGTGGCAGTACGCCGGGAGTACGCAGGCAGAGTGCTGGTGAGTACTGCAGCATAGGGGAACAGGGAGGGCACATCCCCTGAAAGAATAACGGCTGTGGTTGGGGTCAGAAGGGGTTTGTTAAAACAGCTTCTGGTTGCTGGGGGTGGTGGTTCACATCTTTAATCTCTGTGAGATTGAGGCCAGCCTTGTCTACATAGTGAGTTCCAGGTCAGCTGAGGCTATGGGGAGACCCTATCTCAAAAAGACAAAAAACAAACAAACAAACAACAAACAAAAACAAAAGAGCTATGGTTAAGGGCCAGACCCTGCATTCAGGCTGTGCCATCCCTTTTTGGCTCTGTGACTCTCCCAGCCTATTTTGTCTATCAAATGATGAAATAAAAGAGGTCTCATCCTGAAGCCGCCAGCAGCCACATTGACTGGGTGGTTGTAGAGATTTGATGACTTAATATTTTACAGGGTCTTTAAAGGAGGACTTGGTGCCCACCAGATGCTCTGTGAATGTCGATGGGTGCTGATTTCATTCTTGTGAATCTTCAGTTGGAGACTTGTGCGCTTTCTGGATGATGGTTCATAGAGTTAGGTGACACAGTCATTAGGTAGCATATGAGTGTTGGGAACATGCTGGATGAGCATTGTAGGGCTTTGGCAGCAAGACGGGGCAGGGCCTGCAAATATCCAGGCAGTGTCAGGAGGTCCACACCACAGTGCAAGTAGAGAAACACTCATTTCCTCTGCAGAAACAAGTGAAAGTAGGGACGTGAGTTGTTGGATGTTCACACAACAGTTCATCATGAAAATAGGAAAGTTTGGGTAATGGCTCACGATCTACGAAGAGGAATGGATAATGGAAGCAGGAGATGGAGCTTTCTGTATGCCACATTTTAACCCCCAGTCCTCGCAGCAATCTTGGGGTGAAGGAAATCTTGCCCAGGAGCCCCAGTGTTTGATATAGGGAGGCTTCGGATAAA